CAAAGATCTAGAAAAAGAACAACAAAAAAACCCCAAAACCAGTAGAAGAAAAGAAATAATAAAAACCAAAGCAGAAATAAATGAAATTGAAACTAAAAAAACAATCCAAAAGATCAATGAAACCAAGAGCTGGTTCTTTGAAAAAATCAATAAAATAGACAAACCCCTAGCCAGGCTCACAAAAGAAAAAAGGGAGAAAGCACAAATAAACAGGATCACAAATGAAAGAGGAGAAATCACAATGGACACAGCAGAAATCAAAAGAATAATCAGTAACTACTATGAACAGTTATATGGAAACAAGTTCAACAATCTAGAGGAGATGGACAAATTCCTACAACTCTACAATCACCCAAAGCTAGATAAAGAAGAAATAGAACACCTAAACAGACCAATTACAAGCAGCGAAATTGAAATGGTAATCAAAAACCTCCCCAAAAACAAAAGCCCAGGACCTGATGGATTTACAAATGAATTCTACCAAACATTCAGAGACGAATTAGTGCCTATCCTTCACAAATTCTTTCAAAAAATTGAGAAGGAAGGGACAATACCAAACACGTTCTATGAAGCCAACATTACACTAATACCAAAACCTAACAAGGACAACACAAAAAAGGAAAACTACAGGCCAATCTCCCTAATGAACACTGATGCAAAAATCCTCAATAAAATTTTAGCTATCAGAATCCAACAATGTATCCATAAGATAATTCACCACGACCAAGTAGGATTCATTCCAGGGACACAAGGATGGTTCAACATCCGAAAATCAATCAACGTTATCCAACACATCAACAAAAAAAAATATAAAAACCATATGATAATATCAATAGATGCTGAGAAAGCTTTTGACAAAGTGCAACACGCATTCATGATAAAAGCCCTTGAAATTCTTGGGATACAAGGACCATACATCAACATCATAAAGGCCATCTATGACAAGCCAACAGCCAGTATCATTCTCATGGTGAAAAGCTGAAAGCAATTCCATTAAGATCTGGAACAAGACAAGGATGTCCACTGGCACCACTGCTCTTCAATATAATACTGGAAGTCCTAGCCAGAGCAATAAGACAAGAGAAAGACATCCAAGGAATCAAAAATAGGAAAAGAAGAAGTCAAACTATCACTATTTGCAGATGATATGATAATATACATAGAGAACCCCAAAAACTCCACAGAAAAACTAATTCAAGTCATCAATCAGTTCAGTAAAGTGGCAGGATACAAAATCAACATGCCAAAGTCAGTAGCCTTCCTATACACAAACAATAAATCTGAAGAAGAAGAAATCAAAAAAAAATCCCTTTTATTATTGAAACAAAAAAAATCAAATATTTGGGAATAAATCTAACAAAAGAGGTAAAGGACCTATACAAAGAAAACTATAAAACACTGTTAAAAGAAATAGAAGAAGACACGAAGAAATGGAAAGACATCCCCTGCTCATGGATTGGAAGAATAAACATTATTAAAATGGCCATCCTACCAAAAGCAATATACAGATTCAATGCTATTCCAATCAAAATTTCAATGTCATTCTTCAAAGAAATAGAACAATTATTGATGAAATTCATATGGAATCACAAAAAACCCTGAATAGCCAAAGCTCTCCTGAAAAAAAAAGAAGGGAATGGAGGCATCACATCCTAGACTTCAAACTATACTACAAAGCCATAATCATCAAAACTGCATGGTATTGGAACAAGAACAGACATACAGACCAATGGAATCGAATAGAAAATCCAGAAATAAACCCACAGATTTATGGTCAACTAATCTTTGACAAAGGAGCAGACTATGCATTGGAGCAAAGAAAGTTTGTTCAATAAATGGTGCTGGGAAAACTGGGTCGCTACATGCAAAAGAATGAAGCTTGACCACTACCTCACACCATACACAAAAATCAACTCAAAATGGATTAAAGAACTAGACATAAGACCTGAAACCATAAAATACATAGAAGGAAATATAGGCGAAACACTACGGGATTTGCACATCAAAGACATCTTTACAGACACATCATCCAAAGCAGTGATAGTGAAGGCAAAGATAAACAAATGGGACTACATCAAATTAAAGAGCTTCTGTACAGCAAAAGAGACAATAACAAAAACAAAGAGAAACCCCACCAACTGGGAGAACATTTTTGCACACAACACTAATGATAAAGGACTGATCACAAAAATCTGCAAAGAGCTGATGAGACTCAACAACAACAAAGAAAATAATCCCGTCAAAAAATGGGCAGAAGAGCTAAAAAGAAACTTCTCTGAAGAGGAAATGCAAATGGCCAACAGGCATATGAAAAAATGGTCAACATCACTTGTAATCAGGGAAATGCAAATCAAAACTACCATGAGATACCATCTTACACCAGTGAGAATGGCACATATTAAAAAAACTAGCAACAACAAATGCTGGCGAGGGTGTGGAGAAAAAGGAACCCTTCTGCACTGTTGGTGGGAGTGCAAACTGGTCCAACCACTATGGAGAGCTGTGTGGAGATTTCTGGACCTACTAAACATAGAGCTTCCATATGATCCAGCAATTCCACTCCTAGGTATTTACCCAAAGGACACAGAAACATCAATTCCAAGGAACACCTGCACCCCTATGTTTATAGCAGCACTGTTTACAATAGCTAAGCTTTGGAAACAGCGCAAATGCCCAAAAATAGATGACAGGATCAAGAAGATGTGGTACATATATACCATGGAATATTACTCAGCATTCAAAAAAGATAAATACATGCAATTTGCAGTAACATGGATGCAGCTGGAAGGGATCATGCTCAGCGACATAAGCCAGAAAGAAAACGAAAAATACCGGATGGTCTCACTCATAGCAGGAATCTAGAAAACTTAAATAAGGGACCAGGAAAATGAATAACTAAGAAAGTGAAAATCAAAATCAACAAAAAACTATGAACCAGAGACACTTTTTGGGGGGTGAGGGTCGGGAGGGGAGGGATTGGGATCAGAATGGGGGGGTTGCAATTGTATGGGGAATATAAAAATAAAATTAAGTCATATAAAAAATAAATAAATCTTTAAATTAAAAAAAAAATAAAATAAAAATACACTGCTGAGGGGAGCAGCAAGCACGCAGGAGAGGTCTGTGCACCATGTGGGACCCTTGCCGTTGGTTGGGGATCGAACCGGTGCTGCAGAGGCTGTGGGCAGCTTCACAGCCCAGCACTCAACCACTGCGCCACCAGAGGAGGCCCTGCTTAGCTATTTCTTTTGGGGTATAATTTTTATACCATCTCACACCAGTGAGAATGGCACATATTAAAAAAAACTAGCAACAACAAATGTGGGCGAGGGTGTGGAGAAAAAGGAACCCTTCTGCACTGTTGGTGGGAGTGCAAACTGGTTCAAACACTATGGACAGCTGTGTGGAGATTTCTGGACCTACTAAACATAGAGCTTCCATATGATCCAGCAATTCCACTCCTAGGTATTTACCCAATGGACACAGAAACATCAATTCCAAAGAGCACCTGCACCCCTATGTTTATAGCAGCACAATTTACAATAGCTAAGCTTTGGAAACAACCCAAATGCCCCAAAACAGATGACTGGATCAAGAAGATGTGGTAATATACACTATGGAATATTACTCAGCATTCAAAAAAGATAAACACATGCAATTTGCAGCAACATGGATGGTGCTGGAAGGGATCATGCTCAGCGAAATAAGCCAGAAAGAAAAAGAAAAATACCGGATGGTCTCACTCATAGCAGGAATCTAGAAGACTTAAATGAGGAACTAGGAAAATGAATAACTAAAGAAAGTGAAAATTAAAATCAACAAAAAACTATGAACCAGAGACACTCTATGGGGGGTAGAGGGCGGGAGGGGAGGGATTGGGGTCAAAATAAGGGGGTTGCAATTGTATGGGGAATATAAAAATAAAATTACTAAAAAAAAGTTAAAAAAAAGAATGTTTCTTTAATTTTAAATCCCAGTTGTTCATGTTGCTTACGGGGAAACTAATAAAATTTTGTATATTGACCACATACCCTGCAACCTTCCTATAGTTGCTAATTATTTCTGAGTTTTTTTAAGCTTTCTAGTGGTTTTTCACCTGGAATACATAATTGATTGTTTCATATCAATATGTATTCCCTTTATAGCTTTTCTTTTCTGTTACTTATCATATTAGTTAGGACAGCCCACAGTTCTGAATTGGTGTAGTGGCAGAGGACATAATGGCCTGTTTCTCTATTTGGTGGCTCATCTTTAAGTATAATGTTAGTTACATGTTTTCATTTATACATTTTATTAGTTTAAGGAAAAGCCCTTTATATTCTGGATTTTTGAATTTTTTTTTAATTTCTAATGTGTGTTGAAATATATTGAGTGTTTTTATGTCTGTTGATATGGTAATATGTTCTTATTCACTCTTAATGTAAAGTGTTATATTACCTGATATATAGGTGTTAAACTGGTCTTGTATTACAAAATGAACCACACTTAGTCATGATGCATATATTTCAGTAATTTCAATGCAAGTCACTGACTTGATTTTTTTAACATCTCTAGATTTTCATTGTATTTAGTTGTTTTGGTTTACAAAGTAATTATGGTCTCCAAAAATGAATTGGATTATGCATGAGAGGCAATACGGAGGCAGAGTGAAGACACTGGGCTCACCGCCACCATATGCTCACAACACTGTGCAGGACAACATCGATGCCCCTGAAAGAGAAATGGGTGACCAGGGCACACACCAGGAGCAGGGACCAATGGCAAGAGACAGGGAAAACTTTAACTGACCTGCATCTACAGTTATACTGGAGCAGAATTAAACCCCCTACAGATGTGGACTCAGGGACACAAGCCACATTGGGGCCTTTGGAGACTCAGCACTTCCCTCAGCGCTGAGCTCAACCCACTGGGCCATTTTTGAAGACATCATACCTCTGCAGCTCAGAGTGTCTTTCTGATGGTAGAAGGTACATGAATACTTCATACCTATAGAAGCACACACATGCCACACTCATGTAGACTCACATGCACACACTTGCACACAGTGCAAGACATGCACATACACCTAAAGAAAATAGTGCAAATACCTAATTCCATACTCACTGCTAGCTCTCCTTCATGCTCCTGTCTATCTGATCACCATGTGACCCCTCTGACTTTTCTAAAATTTTCTAAATGCTTTCCAAAATTTTCTAAATTTTCTGAACTTTTCACTGCTGATACAAGAATGTTAAAGGAAATTTTGGTCTCTGGCGTCCAATGTGTTGGAAGTGTGGGCGCAGTCACAAACGGGAAGCAAACGCGGTCGGATTCAAACACCAATTTAATGTGTCCTGGGATAGACATTTTAACTAAACAATCCATTTCAAACTGTCTCCTCCAGGTGGAGAAAGAGCGTCCAGATGCCTCCACGCCCCAGGGCCCCGCAGGTACAGCAATTCACCTGGAGGTGCCCCTGCAGTGGGAGCCAGTGTGTCCATGGCGGCCTTCTCCTCGCGCCCTCTGGGACCTGTGTGGGAAGAGCAGATCCAGTGAGGCCCAAGCACGGAGGGACCTGTTGAGGAGGCTCTTTCCTTCATGACCCCTCCCAGGGAGTGCTGCATGGACTCAGATGCGAGAAGGCGCAGATGGAAACCCGGAGGCCCTACAGAGGAGCCACTCACTGGCGGGTGAGAGATTCTCCAACTTGGAATCTCCATTGTGAAAAGGGGCCCAGTCCAGGGGGACTTCCTACCATGGATGTCAGTCCCTGACAGCGCCAGTCAGCCCGAAGAGCTCCTGCATCTTCTGCACCGTCCAGGTGCCCAGGGCTGCCAGCAGGGCCCTCACGGGATAGAGCCTAAGATGGGGAAGCAAGGCCCTGGGGTCCCAGGCTCTGGCCCTGGGGCCTCTGGAGGCTCAGCCCACACAGCTCCACTCCCATCCCCGGCCCTGCACCTGCTTAGCTGCCACAAGCCCTCATCTCCCCCCCTTCCACCGCTCTGCTCTCCTCCAGGTGCTTCACCAGTCCCGTTGCCCTCTTGGCCCTTCACCTGCTCTGCTCCTGGGACTGCTGTGCTCGCGGACATCTGTGCTCCACGTCTATGGGCTCGTGCTGCTCCTGGCCCCTCTGGCTGGGCCCAGCCCCTGACCCCTCTCCAGGGCCTCGGCCTCCGCTGGTGGTCTCCTTTCACCATGGCCACTGGGTGGCTTCCCTGGAGTGGGGAAGTGAATTCTGGGGAGGTGCTGGTGATCATCCTAGTCCCCGGCAGGGTGAACTCTGGACTGGTGTTGTCCACTGAAGGGTGCACAGAAACAGCAACATTTTAGAATACTGTTGAGGATTCTTTGAACTCTGGACTTGTAGCCTCCGTGGGAATGAAGGGTGGAATGGGAGTGGTCAGCACGGTGTTCATGGCCCAGTGTCTCTGCAGGGGCCACCAGTCTGCTGAACAGGAGGCACCTCCTTGGGGATGCTCCGGTGGTGCTGGAGGGCTGGGGGGCTGGGCTGGAGGTTTTCCTGCTGCTTTCCTGGTCCTGCTTCAGCTGGGGGCCTGGCAGGCAGTGGTGCTGTGCTCCTCCACGGGGCCTGGCAATGTGGTGTCGGGCAGCGGGGCTTCCTCCTGCAGGGGGCCTGGCAGCAAGATGGCGCTATGTCCCCTGGCCTCCCGCAGCACGGGCCCTGACCTGGAGGCCATGCTGGGCTTCCAGGCGTCCCGCAGCAGGGTCCCTGAGCCAGAGACTGAGCTCTGCACGCTGGCGTCCTCCTGTGGGATTCCTGGCCCGGAGGTGGTGGTGGGCTTCTGGGCGTCCTCCTTCTGGGACACTCGCAAGGTCTCGCACCCGGAGACCTCAGGCTGCAGGTGGTCCTCCGGCATCGGGGCGCAGTGGGCCCCATCGGGACTGAGGAGCTTGGGGGTGATGGCGGGGTCCGGCTCCTCCTCGTCCGGCCACTGCCTGGAGAGCAGCATGAGGTAGGTCCCCATCACTGGGTCATACCTGGCCTCCAAAAGCGCCCTGTCGATGACCTCTTTCTGGAATCCCAGGTGGACCATGGCTTCTGTCGCGGCCTGGTGCTGGCCCGGGGATGGCTCGCGGCAGGGCGGGAGTCCGTTCATCAGCCCCACCCAGGGGTGCTGGATGACGCTGTCCAGGGTGCTGCGGCTCTGGGGGTCGAGCGCCCTCATCTTCCTCAGCAGGTCCCAGCACTGCTGGGAGAGGTAGTGCGGCTCGTGGTAGATGCCGCTCGGCACCCTGGCCCGCAGCTCCCCAAGGCCGGTGCCCGCAAAGGCAGCTCCCCGGTGACCATGTCGTAGAGGACCCCCCAGGCTCGAGATGTCCGCCGCGGGGCCACTGTACTCCTGGCGACGGAGGCGCTCGGGGGCGCGAACTCCGGGCGGCCGCAAGGGGTCTTGAGCAGCGCCGCCCCGAGACCTGGGCGCTGAGCCTGAAGTCCGTGAGCTTGACGTTTCGGTGCTGGTCCAGGAGCAGGTTTTCCGGTTTCAGGTCCTGGTGCGCGACGCCCGGGCGTGGCAGTGGCTGAGCGCGCGAGGATCTGCCGGAAGAGGCGGCGCCTCCGTGTCCCCAGGCGCCCGCGCTCCAGCAGGTCGTCCTCCAAGTCGCCCCTGTGCGCTCCGGGACCAGCAGCACCTCGTCCTCGGGGTCCACCACCGGGAAGAGCTGCACTATGCTCGGGTGCCGAAGTACTCATGCAGGCCACCTCGCGGGCCAGGAGCCTCTGGGGCGTGCCGGACTTGGGGACGACCTTTATGGCCACCTCCGTGCCCGTGGGCAGGTGCCGCGCCAGCGTGACCTTGGGTGGGCGCCCTCCCCCAGCGTGCGGAGCGTCACACACGGTCTCAGGGCCAGTCCCTGGGCACACGGGCGCGTCGGGGCAGGGAGGCGGACCCGCCCCTGCGCGCAGGCCCTGGTGTCTAGAGCCTCGGCACTAGCTCCGCTACCGGATTAGCAAGTGCACTGTTAGCCTAGAGCCAGTAGCACTCGGAAAGGGTCCCCGAAACTAAGTAAATGCTACCCGCGCTGACTACTCTACCGAAACACTAAGGACGCTGACCGTGCTGACTTACCTCTACCAGAAACACGGACTATGCTAACCTAACTAGGACACTAATACTAACTAGCTACACACTCAAAAATGAAAACACACAACCAAAACAAGTAACAATGAGATAAAAATTTAAAACTATAATAAAAATAAACCAATTACAAACTAACTACTAAAGTTAACACAGACAAAACGAGCAAACCACAAGAGAACAAACAACAATTACAAACTAACAACTAAAATAAAAAAATAGACAAACAACAAAGGGGAAAAAACAACACACAAAAATAACAACACGAGGGAAAATGGGGGAAATCAAAAAAAAAAAGAAAAATTAAAAAATTAAAAACAAAAACATAAAAATTAATATAAAAATAAGCAAATAATAAAACAATGAAGGAAAATAAAAAACAAAGAAATAAAAATAAAATAAAATAAATAAAATTAAATAAAATAGCTAAAATAAATAGCTAAAATAAATAACTGAATAAGAAATAAAGCGAAAGCAATCCAATCCACCAACACGCGCTCTCTCTCTCTCCCTCCGAGCCCACCGTCACTAGCCCAACACTCCTCGCTCTACCTGCACCGCCGCGGGCCGCGCGGGGGCTTAAGTAGGCTCCGCGGGTGATGTCACAGTGCCCTTTGTGGCGTCAGAGCAGAGGCCACGCCCCCGGCAGAGGGCACCCCAGGGGCTTTTCAGCCTTCACGGGACAGCAACCGCCAGGAGCTGTGTGGACAGACTCCCTGGAGCCTGGAACCCTCCCCGTTCCAGAGCCCGCAGGGCGCTGGTGAGGCCGTGTCCTCTGTCGCGAGCGACCTGTCCCAGGTTTTGGCTTTTAGGGTCTCTCCGCACAGCCCCCCTCAAACCCTGATGCGTCTCACATGACCCGACACATCCACGGGCACAATAAACGACACCATGTTGGGCGCATGAGACGCGACAGAGTCCACTCTTCACACCCCGACACTGAAAACTCTCTGGGACATGGTTCCCCCCGTTTGGCCCACGAGCTACGTGTGCCCCTCGGCGGCCCACAGGCCGGAGGCCGGGGCAGCTCCCGCACATTGGCAGATGCTGTAAAGCGGGTCCTGGGGGTAGTGTGTGCCCCCCCCCCACCCCGCGCTGTGGGGACACCCCCTGACCTGACTCAGCCGGGCTGTGGGAAGCTGGGGCTGGTCAGCTCCCCCCGAGATTTCTGGCTTGGAAATATATGCTCCTGGGGCTCCCCATTGGCACAGCGGGTTGAGCGCAGGGCTGTGGAGCTGTCCGCAGCCTCTGCAGCGCTGGTTCGATTCCAGGCCCGCCAGGGAGAGCCCACATGGCACGCGGACCTCTCCTTTCCCGCCCGCTGCGCCCCTCAGCAGTGTACTTCTGTTGTCTGCCTGTTCTTCTCCCCACTCTGTCTCTGGTGAATCCCTTCACCCTCCCACACCTCTGGCCTGTACCCCAGTTCTTGTATAAATAAATCTTAAAAAAAAAAAAAGACTATTTAAAAAAATCTGCTTCTTGCTCGAACTCGGGGTCGGGGAGCAGAGGTTGGCAAAGGCCAGGTCCGGACGCTGTGGCCCTGCGCCCCGCCGGGAACGGCCCGGCTTCTGGAAGTGGTGGGTTCGCGTGAGCAGTGGGGTCCGCTGCTGCTCAGGCTGCAGGTTCCCCCCGCCCCAGGCCAACCCTGGTCACTCACGCACAGCGTCCGCCGAGGACCAGGTCTCCCCTGAGCAGCCCGGGGCGCGGCCAGAGCCCGAGGCTCAGAGCCTGGGCTCGGAGGTCGGGCCCGGTGGCCCCAGCGCCGCGTGTCCCGGGCCCGGAGGGCGGAGGGCGTCATCCGTCTCGGGGCACAGGACGCCCAGGGCAGGTTCCCGCGGGCCGCCCCCCGGGGACCTGCCCAGGCAGCGGCCGGGAGAGGCCAGGCTGCTCCTCCTGCGACCGCGGCTGCCCCGGAGCTGCCGCGCAGAGAGGCCGCGGCCTCGCCCGGGTCGGGGCGGACTCCCGGGCCCCTTCCCGGCTTTCTCCCCAACCTCACGGCCGCCTCGGGGGAGTCCGCGCTCTGCGGCCGCCTGTGTCCGCGCCCGCCTCAGCCTCAGGGCTGCCAACCGCACGGGGGCTCCGCGTTCCCTCTCGCCTCCGAGAACCCACGATGCCCCCGCCAGCCTGGGCTGCTGCGCGTCACGGGCCAGGGCTGAGCATATATGAACAATATAGATACTAAATGATTTTGTTATCAGAACCAGCGTCCTCAGGGGTGGGGGCTGCCTCAGTGGTGCTCTCCCGCCTGCTGCGCCAGCACAAGTCAGTTGTGGCAGTTGCTCCTCAGAACCCAGTAGCCGCCCGTTTACTTCTTGGATGGTGGGATGGACCAATCAGGTGCAAGATATGAGCTGACTGGTGCTAAATGGTCCGGTTAGCCACAGAACTGAAAAAATGGTCCAATCAGTCTTGTGGGTGTGACGCTGTGAAAGGGGATATAAGCCAGGGGTGGAGGGCGCTGGAGGACAGACTGTTCCAGCAGCTGAAGAAAGAAGGCGAATACTAGTCCTTGGCCTCCTGAAAAAGAAGGATCAGAAGTTGAAAGAAGGGAAGAAGGAAGCATCCAATGTCTGAACACTGAGGGGAAAGAGAAACTGAAGACCTCGATCAGAGATTGGGCCTCGAAGTCTCTGAACATCGCCAGAAAGGAGCACACAGACTCTGGGCCTGGTGTCACAGAGAGCTGTTAACACTGGGTGTCTCTGACACCACCCAGGGGAACCAGTAGTGACCATCACTCCCGGCCAGTGCTGTCCAGCATTCCTCGTGACCAGTGGTGACTGTCTGTACTGGCCAGTGTGGTCTAGCTCTGTTGACAGGTGACCTGTACTCTGCTTGTGCTTGTGGTGGACACCACCTGGGTGAGATAGCCACCACTTGTGGCCACAGTTAGTTCTTTGTTTCCCCTGTTTGCAGGATCAACCTCATGATTGTTGTTCCCTAAGCCTGAGATCTCTTGCAATTGTGCACAGGTGAGAACCCACAAACAGTGACCTGGCCTCTCCTTGGGCACTGTCCTTTGTTCAACTATAGCCCATAGACCCCTATTGTATGGGTGTTGTATTGCTATAGCCCTTGGTTTTGGTTTTTGGCCTTTTGGCCTTTCGGGGCTCTCTTGTCATAGAGCTCAGGCAGGTGGGCAGCCATTATGACCTATCCTGGTATCTCATCCAGCCTCCTGCCCCTACTACCCCAGTTTCAGTTTCAAAATAAAATGTATAATCTAGGCAAAAAAAGTATCTGATAATTGGAACTAAAATAGATAATTTTTGCATACATTATACTTTTCCTGTTTCCCAGTATTTATTATAGTGGCATTTATTTCAATCATTTAAAATAAATAATGCATTTTCATTCTGTATGTTTGTGATGACTTTCAGTTGTCTTATTTATCATCCAAAAATCTGTTTGCCCAAACCATCATGTAAAAAAATTCACCAGCTTGCATAATCTAGACAAATTAATGACTGGAAGGGGAAGTGGAGACAGATATATAGGATATATTGCATGTTGTGGACCAAAAACAAAGGTATTTGCATATTTGATAAGGAGTTTAAACACATGAATACATATTTACATAACTTTTCAATAAGATGCTGAAAATTCTATGTAAAAGAACTGAATCATAATAAGTACCAGGTAGATTCTCTGTGCCCTAAAGCTGACTCAGTGACTAGGTTGTCCTTTGGTATAACCAACTAATGTATGGAAATATAGACTGACATGGTTGAAAACCTTCAAGAAATTCCTCTGTCTGTCACTTAGTACCTGAACAACTGAAAAAAGCTCATTGTTTTTAGAAATAGTTCATCTTATTTTGTGAGAGCTGTTGCAGTAAGATAAAATTAAATTTATCTCCTGATAGATATCTAATCTTTTCATCTTTGGGTAAAGGTAAGACTAATTTTAAATAATGTAAAAAAAAGAAGATATGCTGCAAATCCCATTGTCACTTGTCACCACAAGTGTCTTCTCTTGTCCAATCTAAATACCAAATGTTCTAAGTAAGAGTATTTTGTTCTTTACATGGTCTCATCCATACATATACCCATCTTCATTGTCCAAGATGGGCCTTCCTGACTCCCACACAC